TTTCAAATCCAGAAATATATTTTAAATCCAGAAATGTATATTTTTAATCGCAAAATATTGTTTAAATCGCGAAATATATTTTAAATCCAGAAATATATTTTAAATCCAGAAACAGGGGCGGATCCAGGGTGTCGCGAATGATGCGCATGCATCAGTCTTTTTTCACCGCTAAATTTAAGTGTATCTCTTTTTCACTTTTTTTTCTTAATAAAAAGTAAAAGGAGAAATTGGAATCTGGTATTCACAAAAAATGAAAAACTTGTTTTAAACTCGAAAAAAAATCATTTAAAGTCAATTTTATTTGATCTCTATAGTTACTTATTCGATCTCTATAGTTACTTATTCGTTACTTAGACAAAATTCCTGCGTTTTGGAGCAACTGATGCAATTGTTCTTAACTAAATACAAATGTGATTGGTTTTAAAAAAAAAATAGTACGTTTTAACCAATCATATTTGTATTTTTTCACAAACTTCTCCGATCACTTTGTAGCAACTGATGCAATTGTACTCTAAATCATTAATGATTGGTTAAAAAACAGTTTAAACCAATCACTATTTTATAAAATAACAATTGCATCAGTTGCTACAAAACTTCCGCAAAAAACTTTACAAAAAAGATAAGAAATGTTATTTATAACCAATCAAATTTGTAGAAAGTTTAGAACAATTGCATCAGTTGCTCCAAATCGTTCAAATTTTACAAAATTCTGATATGCCGCCTGATATACGTTCTTCGCTCGTAATTTTCGTCGTTGGACTTTGCTTGTAAACTAAAGTTTTTAAAAAAAATGAATTTTTTAGTCTCAAATGCAATTAAGGCTAGACATTTGCCAAATATTCGCAAATATAAAAACCAGTTGACTGAAGAATTGAAAGTTTTAAATAATAAGAGTCCAGTTCAGCCACATAGTCAGTCTTCTGAAAATACTGAAATGGATCGTTTTATCCCAAAGCAAGAAGATACTAAAGATTATGTTGCTTTAAGGTAAAACCCCTATTATTAAAGTTAATGGTATTTTATATTTCCAGCTAGTATTTAATATAAACTAAGCTTGTTTTAGTATACTTTTTATTTTATTTAAGGTCATCTGAAGCTGGAAATTGCCGGCAATTTCCATCTTCAGATGACCTTAAATAAAATAAAAAGTAGAGGCATGCCTCTGGCAACTGTAGAGGCATGCCTCTACAGTTCAGCTTCACTTTTAAGCAATTCGCCTCTGAAGACAGTTATTGTATTGAGGCTTCTAACTTCGATTGAATTGTTTGAAAAAGTTTGCTACTATGCGAGGTACTCCCTCACGGCTGTTTCACTCTATATAAAAGTGGGCATGACGTCATGAGTTTAGCAAAAAAAAAAGTATTTCCGCATAAAAAGTATAAAAATTCACTAACTTTAAAATAATAGTAATTTTTTTCTAGAAATGCTTTCATCTTTCAATAAAAAATAAATAAAAGATCTATCTTTCCTTGTTAAAAAAATATTTACATTAAACGGACTATAATAAAATATTGTTAAAATATTGAAATTGATTTGGGATCACTTTTCTGTTTTTTGAGATTTTTAATGAAAACCTGTCTTGGGCCAACAAAGATTAGCTGACATAGCTTCATGCTTAACGGTTGAAATTTAGAGCACTTATTAATGAGTGTCTATTTTATCATATTCTAACGTTACTGGTGTGTATTTGTCAAAAAAAAAAAATTTTATTGCATTTATATATTTAATTTTATTATTTTTAAATGTAAAATTTAACATTTTTGATCAGTAACATAAGTTATTGAAATTTTAACCTTTTATGCATATGAAAACAAAAAAACTATTTTCTGTAACTCTAGCTATGTCAGCTATTATCTTTTCAAACTTAGCATGTTTAGCAAAAAATATTTTCAGTTTTCGCTTAAATTTTTATAAACATTAAAAAGCGATGACGTAACCTTAAATGCGTTACGTCCCAAGCAATTATCTTAGCAATTTCAACTGAACTTCTGTTTTGGCGAGACAATAAAATAAACAAAGTTTAGCGGAATATTCTTGACTGGTGGAGAATTTTTGCGATTTTTTTATTACGTCTATTGTAGTGCCTGTATTAATTTGCATTCGGTGTAAATAATGTTAATATGTTTTATAATTGGTCTAACTATGTTTATAATACATCTTAGTCAACAGAAATATAATTTTTCTGATTATTTTTGCTAAAAAGTACCTTTAAAATTTCGAAATTCTGCCAAGTTCGTCATTATGCGCGTTTATTTAAAAATCAGAGCAGCCTTGGATTATTATATTAATAATAAAATATAAAACATTTAGTCAGTGTTCATATTCCTTTTACAGAACGTATTTTTCTTTAATATTTCAAAAGTTATGAAAGTTTTAGTAACATCCCCTAAGTAATTATTTTCAAAAAATAACAAGAAGCCGTATGTCCACTCTGAAACAGCCCTTTTTGTTAAATAGGTTAAAAACAATAATTTTTTTAATCTTTCCAGTGTTCTAGTAGCCTGTGTTTCTTTTGAATGTTCAGATCAATTTAAATTAATTAACAGTGAATCTACTTCTGAAATTATAATAATGGAAGCATTGATCAACTGCCGAGCTAACAAGTTTTCTTCATTTTTATGTCTAATTGCGTTGTCATCAGTTTTATATATTCCTATTAGATTAATTTATACTGATTTTGGCTTAGAAAAATTCAAAAAACTTTTTAATACAATTATTTTTCCATTTCGTTCAATTAAAAATCAAGATCAAAATGTTTTAAATATTTTATAGTGTAATACTGATATTATGTCAGTGATGCAAAATAATGATAACTGGACACCGAACCATTTTGTACCAATTATTAAAAAACCTAAACTAATTTCTAGTAATAATAAGAATTTGGCTATAAAAAACGATACTACTTATCCTTTACACTTTTTTAGTCCTAAAACTGAAACATATAAAAAACAACAACTTGATTCTGCAAAACATGTCAAAATTTAATCTAAAATTAACTTTAAAAAAGACAATGCTTTCATAGTGTTGCCTTTTGAACCTTCTGTAGATTCAAAAATAGTTAAGTCATTAGACTCCAACTCAGTTATTATTCCTTCATATAATGAATTAAATTCTTTGTACGATGTTTCAACATATCTTGTTCGAGGTAAACTTTTAACTGCTGGCAAAGATGATTCTATTTTGTTAGATATGGTAAACAAAGTATTTTGTCCTAATTCTATGTTCGTTTTTCCAATATCTTTTAATACAAAAAGATCATTTAAATTTAAATGGCTCAGCCAGTTTTCTTGGTTAGCTTATTCTAGCAAAGAAGATGGAGCTTACTGTCTTCCTTGTACTTTGCTAGGTGCTAGTATTCCAAATAAGTCTGGAATATTAAATTTAGTTTTCAAGCCCCATCAAGAGTGGGGTAATGCTGTTCGTGATTATAGAAAACATGAGGAAAGTTGTGTTTTACATGAAAAACCTATGCTTTTATTTAATGCATTGCTTTCACGTTGCAACTCCAAAAATAATGTTATTGAGGTTGATTTAAATAATTCTCGTTTGAAACTTCTTTCTGATAACAAAAAAAAATTAGTTCCAATAATTAAAATAATAATATTTCTTGGTAGAAACGATCTAGCATTTCGTGATGCTAGCAAATATCATCCTGATATTGGGGAATCTTCTACACAAAAAGTTGGAATTAGTAACTTCATAGAGCTTTTAAATTTTTGTGTTGATGCTGGTGATCAAGTATTAGCTAATCATCTTTCTTCAAGTCCAAAAAATGCAACCTATATATCAAAAACTACCCAAAACCAACTTATTGATTCTTGTGGGAAAGCAATTGAGAAAGTTTTAATAAAAAATGTCAAGCATTCAATTTTTTTTTTCAATTCTTTGTCATAAAGCAGTTGACTGTTCAAATACTAAACAAATGTCACTTGTTTTAAGATATGTAAATTCAAATAATGAGATTTGCGAGGATTTCTTAAGATTTATTGATTGCAAGACTGGTACATCTGGTCTTAGTCTCTAAATGTACTTAATGCACTTCAAGAGTTTGGACTTGATATTCAAAATTGTAGAGGCCAAGGGTATGGCGGTGCGGGTTGTATGGCAGGTAAATATGAAGGAATTGCTTCTCGAATAAAAGCTCTTAATCATAAAGCTATATTTGTTCATTGTGCAAGCCATAGACTTAGTTTAGTAGTAGCAGCTGCATGCCAAGTTCAAAAAGTAAAAAATTTTCTTGGCCAAGTAAAAGAAATATTTTTTTTTTAACTTATCTCCTAAACGTAGTAACTGTCTCAAAAAATATTTAAGTCCAAATCAAGAAAAAATAATAGATACTTGTCGAACAAGATGGGTTCAAAAGCTGAGAGGTCTTGATATTTTTTTTTGATAATTTTATACCTATTATTCATGCTTTAGAGGAGATGGGGTTAAATGAGTCTAAGGAATATAGCAGTGAAACTGCTTCCAAATCCTCTTTTTTTTTAAGATTATTAACAGATTTCTCTTTTATTGTAAGTTTAGTTATTACAAAACAATTAATGGATTTTTTTCAATTCTGTTTTTTTTCAAATTCAATTACTGTAACTCTTCAAACTAAATCTTTTGACATATCCCAGCAGTGTTTTGAAATAACTAATCTAAAAAATCTGTTATTAGAAATTAAAATTAAAATTGATATATATCACACTGAATGGTACGCTATCGCTCTTAGTTTGGCCAAAACTCTTGATATACAAGAAGTGAGACCTAGATTGTGTAATGTCCAGGTTTACCGGGATAATTATCCAACAAATACAGTTTGTGACTATTTTAAACACAGCATTACATCTCCATTAATTGAACATCTTATTAATGAGCTAGATAATAGGTTTCCAGAAAATGGCATGTTTGTTTATAAAGGTCTAGCAGCAGTTCCTTCAACTGTACTGTCCAGAATACAAGTTAAAAAACCATGGAAATCTGATTTTTATGAATTTTTAAATTTCTATTCATCTGATATGCCTCATTTTACTTCAATACATGCTGAGTTAGATTTATGGGAATTATTTTGGGAAAACCAGTCAAGTATTCCTTCAACTGTTGCTGGTACTTTAAAGTCCATTGACATGAGAGGTTTTCTAAATATAAGGACAGCATTTATAATTTTAGGAACAATTCCAATAACAACTTGTGAATGTGAAAGAAGTATTTCAGTTATACGTAGGCTAAAAACATTCTCTAGAAGTAATATGATTGAGTCTCGCTTTAACTCTTTAGCATTAATGTCCATACATCAAGAAATTTTTCCAGATGTTGAAAGAGTCATTGACATTTTTTCAAAGTCAGGTGAAAGACATTTAGACTTAGCTTTTATTTAGTAGTGTACTAACTTTTATTTTACTTATTTCTAATTTGATTTTTATCAAATTAGAAATAAGTAAAATGTCCAGAAGTGGAGGGCCAACCTTAGGCAATATTACTTTACACTCCAGAAATGGAGGGCTAACCTTGGGCAAAATGACAGTATACAGATGAAGTGCAAAGTCCTATGGCTTACCTTCTCGTTGGTGCACTTTGTTAAGTAAATTAGGCTTAAAATTACATGTCTAATTTATGAACAAAATAGCCAAGGCAACATTTGTAAAAATTTCTGCTAAAAATGAATACTGCAAAAGCAATACAAAATTTAGTTATTATTCAATGATATAAACAGCGGCGCCACTAGTAAAAAAAGCTGTTTCTCCACATTTTATATTGACTATACTTAAACCCTAGAGAGGTTGCGAGGGGGGGGGGGGGAGACGTCGATAAAAAAATTTCGCATCACCCATTTAAAATGCTAGATCCGCCCCTGAGAAATATATTTTAAACCCAGAAATGTATATTTTTAATCGCAAAATATTGTTTAAATCGCGAAATATATTTTAAATCCAGAAATATATTTCAAATCCAGAAATATATTTTAAATCCAGAAATATATTTTAAATCCAGAAATGTATGTTTTTAATCGCAAAATATTGTTTAAATCGCGAAATATATTTTAAATCCAGAAATATATTTTAAATCCAGAAATATATTTTAAATCCAGAAATATATTTCAAATCGCAAAATATATTTCAAATCGCGATATTTTCAAATTATCATATGTGAATTTTATAAAAATGGCGTCATATTGTGCCTCATGTAGAGCTAATTTAATTTAAATTAGCTCTACATGAGGCAAAATATGACGCCATTTTTATAAAATTCACATATGATAATTTGAAAATTTTTTTTTTTGTCCTCAAGTTGTCTCAAGCTTCCTCAAATTGTCCTCAAGCTTTAAATTTTAAAGCTTGAGGACAATTTCTGTACATTTTGTGGAAATAAGAAAAAGGTTAAAGAAGAAGAGGAAGTAAATATTCGCATAAATGAAAAATTTGCTCTTAGCGACTTTCAAAAGTATAAAACTGTCGAGAGGAAATCTAGGTTCAAAAGAAAATCTTTTGCACCGATAATTTCCAATGACTCTCTAAAAAAAAGTCGTTCTATTGAGAATGTAACAATAAATGTTGGTATTATGAAAGATAATGGTAAAGATGAAATTAACATTGTGAGGGGAAGTAAATTGCCTATACATGTCCCAAGGCAAGGTAATGCAAAGATGGTTTTTGAAATCGCTTGTGGAAAACATGCAGATCATAACCAATTTTTTGATTATAACGATAACTGGGTACTACTATATCCTGATAAAAAAAAAGCTGAATATGTTCCAGGCACTAACTCTTTGTTTACAGTTGAAAAGTATAAAGAAAGTTTAAACAAACCATTTTCAAAGATAGACTTATATCTGTGTAAGCAAAGTATTTTAAATCTAGAAAATAAAGAAGTCGCCGATTTAAATAATGACAGCTCTATTTCGGATTTAGATAACTTCTGTTTTCAATATCATAGTGAAGATTTCAATAATAACACTTTGTCAAATAATTATCTTGGAGATTTTCCAGAAAAATTATCTATTGAAAATAATCAATCATTTTCTTATTTTGGTGTTGTTGACAGTAAATCTGTAAAAAATTTTAAAGATATTTCTTCACAACAAACAGCCAGTCAATCTAGTTCAGGCGTCAGCTGCGGTCTTTGTCCTGTATGTAATCAAAGGTTTCCTTTTTCAGTGCTTGAACAACATGCAGATAATTGTTTAAAAAATAAAGAAAAGCAAATAGTATATTTGATTGATTCTGATGACTCAATTGATTTGACTAATAGTTATGAAAAAGAACAAGATTTTGATAAACCTGAGAATATAAATGATCTTAAAAAAAAGATTCCAGTTTTAATAAAACAACTCAGTGATATACATGATGGCGATGTCAGAATAAATGTTCGTCGTCAATTTGAATTTGAAGACTTCCACAAATTTTTTACTAAAAGTTGGAACAAGGATAAAATCCACAATTTATACAAGTTTTCATTTGTTGGTGAGCCTGCTATCGATACAGGTGGAGTGTCTCGAGAATTCTATTCAGGTTAAATTTATATGCAGAGTTGTTAATAAGGCTAAAATATAGCAAGGCTAATGTTAAATGTTACTTAGCAAACAACAAGGCTAAAATGTTTCATGACCAAGGAATTAATTCTTTTAATTAAAAGCAAGCCTGAGGATTAACAACTCTGTTTATATGTATCAATAGTGTTAATTGTTGTTTTTTAAAAGTTTTGGTTGATTATTTAAAGTTTTTTTGACTAATTGTTTTTTTATTTTTTGTATCTGATCTTTTCTCAAAAAAAAAATTCTTAAGGTAATTTTAGTGTTTTCTATAACTTTGACTCAAAAATTAAAGAACAATTTAACAGTTATAATTTGCAATTTATTTGTTTAAGATTTAATTAATAAACTAAAACTAATGCTTCAAGAATTATAGTTTTTTTTCTTTACAATATTTATTTTTGTATTTAGAAGCTTTAAAATCAATTAAAATTAGGTTCTTTACTGGCGATGATTTGGTTGGCTATGTACCATCATGTGGTATTCTTAGTGTTGCAGATGGCACAGTAAAAACTATAGGCCATTTATTTGCAGCATCTATGGTGAATGGCGGACCTGCACCTTTTTTTTTGTCCCCTTAGGTTTATGAGCTTATGGTGAATGGCATTTCAACTGCAGTACGGTGTTGTCCAAAGGCTTTAGATGAATCTTCAAATTTAAAAAGTATTTTTGATAAAGTAAAATATCTCATTTTCTTGCTATTTCTGTGACAAATAAAAATATATAAAAATTATAAATAAAATCTAATTGATTTCAATTATAAATAGTGTATCTATTAAATAATATTATTTAATTTTAAATTGAATTAATATAAATTTTTTTAGATTTTATTTGCAACTACAGATGACTATTTAACTAATGTGCTATGTACTGAAGAAGGAATGGATGCACTTGAAATAATTGGAAAAATCCAAGAAAATCGTCTATTGATGATAAACATGCTCTTTTAGAGTAAGTCAATAGTTACCTATAATACCCTATGAATAAATCAATTAGGATCTTCAAAGATCATTTGTTATTTCATCATTTAATAAACCTCTAGCCTCAATTCATTTAACTTATTTTTAAATATCTTCATATGTTCAATTTTTATTTTCTTTTTTCATTAGGTCAATGTTAATTAAAGGAAAAATAGAGCAACTTTTACCTGTAGTTGGAGAAATTGCGATTGGTTTACAAGTGTATGGCCTTTATGAAGTTATAAAAAAAAATTCAAATATCATGCGAGTTTTATTTTGTGCAAACGAAAGTTTTATATGGAAATTTGATGATTTTATACTTTTGTTAAAACCGCAGTTTAGCGAATCCGGAGGGAACAAAAAATCATTTAAAATTTCTACATACAAAGCTTTTCTTGATGTTGTTGAGTATAGCTTCAATACTGGTATTGACACTTTTTACTGTTAAATTTATTATAATACTCTCAAAAACAAAGCAGCAGATTATGTATTTTTATTATTTAGAACTGGCGGATCCTTCATCAAATGATATTTTGCAGTTTTTGACTGGCTCGCCGTCCATTCCCGCAATAGGGCTTCCAAAAGATATTTCTATAGTTTTTGTTCATGGATGTCCGTTAACAAATAATGGTAAAGAATGCAAATGTTTACCAACAGTCAGCACTTGTGACATACAGTTAAATCTGCCAGTTCATATAAATACAAAACAAAAACACTATGAAGGAAGCACTTTCATTAGCTGTAAAAAACGGTTACCATTTTGGACTTATTTAAATGCGTGAAGACATTTCTTACTTTATATATATATATATATATATAAATATATATATATATATATATATATATATATATATATATATATATATATATATATATATATATGTGTATATATATATATATATATATATATATATATATATATATATATATATATATATATAGATATATATATATATATATATATATATATATATATATATATATATATATATATATATATATATATATATATATATATATATATATATATATATATATATATATATATATATGTATATATATACTTATATAGCTTGTTTGTGTATTTTATATATTTATAGTTGAAAACACGAAACTATATTGCTTGATAAATAATTGTGTTATAAATTTTTCTTGCTTCATCCCAGTTTCTCGGCGGCATTTTTAGTCCTTTTTCGTTTACTACGTCTTTAAAGTAGTTAACAAGTTGCAAGTCGCTCTTATTCAAAATTTCGTAGGCTTCAGCGTGAATATCTCTTTGACTTAGTATTCCGGAAAGAATGTCATCGTTAATATTTACTCCACATTGCTGGTAGTTATAGAGCTCTGGTAAATAAAACATTTCGTCTGGTATCCCATGAACATTTGCATGTCGGGTCTTTCTAATATTATGGGAATTCCACTCCTCTTTCATTTTATCAAGCTCAAATTGTATTAATTCAGAGTAACTAAACCAAACGCATTCCATTTGGAAACAATCTCCAAGTCTTAAATCATCATTAAAAACCATTCTTTTAAAATATTCTATAAAAGATGTTGTATATGTCCTTTTCAAGTTCGACCATAGGTTTTCAATTCTTTGGTTAGACTGCGAACTGCCGTACTTGTGTGCATTGATATCATTATGTACAAAGGAGTGTATTGCTGCAATAATGCCGTTTTCTGTGCCGCAATCAGTTCTCAGAGTATCTGGACACACTTTGAATTCTTTCAATGCATTAAGATAGAAATGAGCCGGAATAACTGGGTCTTTGTTTGTTCGGCAAAGTTTTAACCAAATTATTTTACGAGAAAACCCATCAATGCATCCATGAATAGGGAAACCATACGGCTTTAATTTATCGTAGCCATCAACATGCCACACAAAATTTGGACCTTGGGAACTATAAACTCTTCGTTTTAGTTTACAATGTTTCCTATTTTCGGATTGCGCAGGGTTAATTTGCCTGAGGATGTTCATGACGTCATCTCTGTTGATGGAGATACCGTAACTTATGCGTAATGTGTGCCATATACTGCGGTAACCTTTAATTCCGGCAAAGGTTTGCACCTCTGTTTCTATTAGGCGGCGAATCGAAGTGTTTTCAAATAATCTATTTTTTCTTTTTAAACCCATTTTATTTAAATAACGTTTTAATGTACTAACACTAATTTCCAAACCATGGTAGCGACTTAACAGGAAAACAATTTTTTTGTATTGCATTCCTTTGTGAACGTAATGCTTAATCAATTCTTCAGTGAAGTTGTTTTGAATTGATGTTTCTTCCTCTGATCGTTTCCTTCGTTCCCCGCACCGAGGGCAAAAAAACTCAGTATTGAATAAATATTTTCTTCCACAACAAAAACAAAAATTAACAAACATTTTATCACTTGATCGCTTTTAATTGTCTATTTACTAAAACTGCGTTTTTGTTCGTTTGTTTGTTATTATTATCAGCTTTTTGTTTTTCAAAACATGTGAAAGTATTATATTCAAAATATATATATCTGGATTTAAAATATTTTTTGCGATTTCTAATATATTTCTGGGTTTTAAACATAAATTTTTGGATTTCAAATATATTTTGCGATTTGAAATATTTTTTGCGATTTCTAATATATTTCTGGATTTAAAATATATTTCGCGATTTAAACAATATTTTGCGATTAAAAATATACATTTCTGGATTTAAAATATATTTCTGGATTTAAAATATATTTCTGGATTTAAAATATATTTCTGGATTTGAAATATATTTCTGGATTTAAAATATATTTCTGGATTTAAAATATATTTCTGGATTTGAAATATATTTCTGGATTTAAAATATATTTCTGGATTTAAAATATATTTCTGGATTTGAAATATATTTCTGGATTTAAAATATATTTCTGGATTTAAAATATATTTCTGGATTTGAAATATATTTCTGGATTTAAAATATATTTCTGGATTTAAAATATATTTCTGGATTTGAAATATATTTCTGGATTTAAAATATATTTCTGGATTTAAAATATATTTCTGGATTTGAAATATATTTCTGGATTTAAAATATATTTCTGGATTTAAAATATATTTCTGGATTTGAAAGATATTTCTGGATTTGAAAGATATTTTTGTGATGAGCTTTCTCGGCTTCCATAGTTACTTAATGTAATTACGCAATAAAAATAGTTAAAAAAAAAAATTTCAAATAAGATTGATTTGGGGAAGTCCATTAATTACGTCAACAAAATAGGGCGAAGGGGGTCTAATTTTTTTTGACAATTGTTGACAAGGGGGAAGGGGAGGTCAAGAAAAGTTGACGTCAACACTTTTTTTTTGAACATGTTACTTTTTTTCTTATAAATTTAACTATTTAAAAAAAGGAAAATATTGCAGCGTTTGCAGTCCTGTGTTACATCGACATTGAATCTTCAGTATTTTAATTCCTATCCTATAATTTATATTCCTACTTTTTAAAAACCGTTTTGTGCTTTAAAAGACCCGACATACAGAACTAAATAATTACACACAAGATGTTCGTTACGCTATTATTTTTTCAAAGTTATTGTTGTCTCAGTCTGCTGTGCAAAAAAAAAAGATTCATATCTTCATTATACTGTTTAAACTTTTATACAAGGGGTACAACCTGCAGCTTGCAAGCTTCTTGTGATTCTTTCGATGTCAAGATGAAGCTCTTTAGCTGCATCTTGACATCCAAATATTATTATCTTGACATGCACAAATATTAGTATAATCAGGGATGCGAAGTCCCAAAAGGACTCCGGTTTTATATGTCTACTTTTTACTGGTCTCTGGTGTCCAAAAGCTCTGAACTTGTTGGTTGATTTATAATCTGCTAAATAAAAAAACTCATGAAATTTAATGACTTGAAACATATTGTTTTTAAGCCCAAAATTCCAGAGTCCTAGCCGCCATTATACCTAAGGACTCCGGGGTCAAAATGATATTGTTCCTCTAACCTAAAAGTCCTAATTTTTTACCGTTTTTATATTATTAGAGCACCTGGATACCAAAAACTAGGAAGAAGTAATCTTTTTGTAACATTCAAATCCGGAGGTTTTTCGGGACTCTGCATCTTTAAATATTTGTACGTCCGTGGCGCAGTGGTTAAAGCGCTTGTTTTTTAAGCAAGAGATCCAGGTTCGAAACGAGATTTGAACCTATTTCGCGTCACGGTAAGAAAGAAGGCGTGAACTTTTTGGGTAAATGCACTTCCACGGTGCTCTGTGACAAGACCGTTAGGTCATCTTGGGGCACCTAAATAACAAATTCAAAAAAATATATATAATTTTAAAATAAAGATAATGGTAGCTCTTTAAAAATTGAAAAACTTTGTTTATTGTGACTTTTGACTCTTCCGTCTCAAAAGGTTGCCAACCACCTGGTTTATACAATTAGTTATATGTTTTTTTTGTTATTCTAGACTCTATTAAAAATAATTTGCTTTCACTGTAAACTTGAGGAGGGGGGGGGGGGTTATGAATGTTGACGTAATTTTATAGGGGGGTCACTGAAAGTTTGACAAGTTGTTGACAAGGGGGAGGGGGAGGTAAAAATTGCCAAAAATATTGTTGACGTAATTAATGGACAGCCCCTTTAAAATTTTATTAACAAAAACGTTTCTTTTTTTGTTGCTTACAAGCCACATTCAGCGGTAACATTTAAAATGTTAAATGTCAATTTTGTTTTAGAACTATGAGAAATATTTATCTGCTCATCATGTATATAAATATTATCTTGAAACTATCTGCATCTTTTGGTAATTCAATTATTAAAAAAGTATTTAAAAAGATAATAATATAGAAATAAAATATTAAACAGCTTATATTAATTTAAAACACAGTGATTGCTAATTTTTTGTTATTAACAAAAAATTAGCAATCACTGTGTTTTAACAACATTTAACAACAATCACTGTGTTTTAACAATTTTTAACAACAATCAAATTCATAATAAATAAAATTTTACATTAAAAAAATCCATGCAAAATTAAAGCTCCATAATTCTAGTATTCAAAAAAAGTCTATTTTGATACACATTTCTATAAAATAACAGAGCAAAACAAGTTCATACCATGTAACTTTTCAACAAACTTGAAAAAGCGTGTCACAGAATTTGGCGAAAAAACAGTTCCGTAAAATCCGGATTTACGCGTACCTAATATATATATATATATATATATATATATATATATATATATATATATATATATATATATATATATATATATATATATATACACTCTTAAAAAAGTTCCGGTAAATTGACGGAAATTTCAGGCAAAATACCTGAACTACTTCGTGCCGTATGGAACCAGACGAACATTCAGGTAAAATACCTGAACCTGAACTGTTTCAGGATTTTTACCTGAACCTGAACTGTTTCGGTTCCGGTATTATGCCTGAACCTGAACCAGTTCAGGTAAAACACCTAAACCTGAACCTGAACCAGTTCAGGTATTTTACCTGAATGTTCGTCTGGTTCCATACGCACGAAGTAGTTTAGGTATTTTGCCTGAAAGAGTAAATGTTCCAAACCGCGATTATAAACTAACTTGGTTTAAGCGTAAAAGCGGTATTAGTTTTTATTAGGCCTGAAGATAGTAAAAATTCAAAATCGTGATTATAAATTAACACGGTTTAGTTGTAAAAACGATATTTTATTTTCAGAAAGTCAATATATTTAAAAGTATAATTTATACAAATTTACGCAACATAGCAATAACAATGCATATAGCAAATAATAACCAAAATATAATTGTTTCTGCGTTTAAAATTGATTAAGTTTTTGTCTAAGGTAAAGGGACAAGTCACTCGCTCCTCTCGATAGATGCATTTCATCTTGGTAACCTAACACGGTATGCTGCAAAAAGTACAATATGTGGCTACATTGTTCCGCATACTCCATGTTCATTAAAAAATAAAGTTTAACTAAGATGTCAACAGCATAAGATATACATCTGTTGACAGGAATAGCTCGACACTCTGTAACAATAAATAATTGACCGACACTGCAATGAGTACCCAAAGCTATGACTAACGGATGCTAGTGAGTAAGACTTTGAAGCACAATTTCCATCGGAGTTGATGCCTATTTAGATGTAGAAATGAAATTAAAATAAGTCATTAAAAAAGGTAATTTTGATACAAAATAAATATAAATGTCAGCCCATTAGAACTAATACTATATTTACTATATTTAATGACTAAAAATACAGTAGAATCCCGTTAACTTGGACCTTGGATAAGTCGTACAGATTTTCAATTCCCCTTGAACTCTCTACATACCCAGAACTTCGCATAACTCGGACATTCGCTAAGTCAAACTATTTATGTATTCCCCTTCCCTTGAGAGTCCGACTCTCAACGGGGCATTTTTCTGTATAATAATGTTAATAACATGTATAGTTATTAAATACATTTTATTATGCCTATTAATACAAACTTAATATTATATTTAATATGTATAAATTTATATCTAATAGAATCTAATATTACAATATACCGGATAAAATTGAATGAAATGTTCTGCAACTTCAGCAGCTGATGCACAACTTTTATTCTTTGATGGTACTTTAATTATAAAGGGGAGTAATAACAATGCAAAATCCATTTCAATTCCTGAATTAAAAATAAAATAAAAATTTAGTGAAATCATTTTATCAATTTATAATTTATTAGAATGGTTTTAGATATCTATAATACACCCAGCCATATTGTTTAGATAACACTTACGTACCTATAGAAGGGTTGTCTTGCATATCAAGCTCAGCAAGAATCTGTTTGACCATCAAATTTGTCTTTTGCCTTGCCCAAGAGATAACATGTGGCGTTATTAACTCCCATTGAGCCAAAAAATCATTCAACTCTGCGAAATTGCAACAGAAATCTTTCTGAAACTAAGATAGGAATATAGTATAAAACTGTTAGTAAAATTTTCTTTCATTTTATAATACTTCAACAAAACCTATATGTCTAATATATAAAAATTACAAGATGTATCTTCTATGAATTACAAGACATTTCATTTTTGTGTTTAAATAATTTTAAATATTTATTGGTGAAAAGTTTGAATGATAATACGATGATTTTTATTCTTAAGTGTATGGATAGATCTTTTAGTGGCGGAAATGTTTTGAGTAAATCATCAAATGTTGGCCTACAATTCACAATCCATTTTCGACGAGAGCATGAAGTTTTTTCCATATAGTCCAACTTTTTTTCATAGCCTAAGTCATCAAATCTCAACTCTGCAATCATACTTAGTTCTTCTTTTGAAAAAGGTGCTAAAAAAAATAAATTTATAAATTAAAAATATTTTACAATCTTTAGATATATTTAAAATGTTTTTTTTAGCTAGTTGTTTATTTGCTAATTGTTTATATAATTTATTAGGAAAACTAATTACAATATTGAGTATTAGGTAAATGTCTTAATTAAATGAAGAAAGAGTGCATGAAAAATATACTAAGCATTAAAGTACTTGATGAGTGGAACTCTTCTGCTAAAACAATAACTCTCTTTCGACGAGCTTGAAAATGAACACCAACATGTTTACGCATAGTTTTCAGTCTCTCTTCTATGTGGCCATGAGGAGTGACCTTCTTTTTCTTATTACTCATTACAAATTCTGTATATAGACTATAATAGTTTTCCTAAAAATAATATTTTTTTGTAAAATTAGATTTCATTACCTCATAGACAACTTGACCTATAATTGACAAATTGTAAAGATACTACTACTTATAACAATGATAAGTTTACTACTAGTAATAATTAGTATCCTCCTCAACTGAAATGGCCCTTATTTTGGGGAGGTGAATTTATATAAGGGGAAAAAATTTTACTAATTTTTTCCCCTTATATAAGGGGAAAAAATTAGTAAAATGTCTCTAATAGTCTCACATATCCAAGTTTTCCACCAGAATGCAGCTTTGGAAAGGCAGTGATAATTGCTTTTGCAAGATTAGATTTGGTTTTTGTGGAAGGATACCTAAAACATATATATTAACAAAAATATTTTTATATTTAAAATTTATTATAAGCAAATGTTTGATAATTTTTATAAATAACTTTATAAATAATTTGTTATAAACTAATATTTTCATTGTTATGTCAATAGTTCCATAATAATACGGAAATAAACATAAACTTACATATTTCCAACTCTATGGACCATTGAGTTAACAACAATGTGGATCATATCTTGACGCCTTTTAATAAGTGCACCTGTAGAATCATATTCTGCCAAAACAAGCTTACCTGTTTGATGCTCATCAAGCAAACTACGTATGTTCTACATAAAAAGAAGATCTTCATTTGTATAAGTTGAAAATTTATTTTTTTAAAATTATAAAAAGAATTTATTTAATTGCTGAAATAATGTGGTGTAAAATAATGAACTAAGTATAAACAAAACACTTAAAAAAATAAGTTATATTATAAGTTATAAGGTATACTTACAAAGTCAATGTTATCCAATCTTAAAGCAACCTGTACATCAGTAGTAGAAACATTTAACTTAATTTTTCTTGACTCATTTAAAACGTCAGGTGAAAGTTGAAGTGTCGATGATAATGTTGGTGACACAGCTGACTCATCAAGGGGGCTGTTTAAAGTTTCAGTTAAAAAAAAAAAAAAAAGCTATAGCTGTTGTATCTTTTAAGCATGTTACGTCTTTTAATACACTATCGTTTTTCTACAAAAAAAAGCAGTTTATATTTACTTCTGTTTATTAAAGGAATAAAAATGTATTATAATCATATATATATATATATATATATATATATATATATATATATATATATATATATATATATATATATATATATATATATATATATATATATATATACATATACATATATATGTATATATATATATATATATATATATATATATATATATATATGTATATATATATATATATATATATATATATATATATATATATATATATATATATATATATGTATATATATATATATGTATATATATATATATATATATATATATATATATATATATGTATATATATATATATCTATATCTATATCTATATATATATATATATCTATATATATATATATATATATATATATATATATATATATATATATATATATATATATATATATATACATATATATATATATATACATACATATATATATATATATATATATATATATATATATATATATATATATATATATATATAATATATATATATATATATATATATATATATATATATATATATATATGTATATATATATATTGTTTTGGACACGTTATAGTGAGTTATAAATACTTTTAGATTTTGTTTATTTAACCTTAACTATTTTTAGCAACTTAGTAATAAGCTTTTCTTTAACTGCTATCTTAAGAATTGAGAATTAAGTAAAATATACAAATTAATAAAACTAAAAAATCATTTTAATACATTGCAATGATACAAATGGTGACGTAAAATAATATGCTTGTATATACATGTAGGTTTTAAACAATGAACAGCGTCAAAAGGTTTATAATCTGCTAAGTCACTTGCTCTCAAACATACACGCTCTGAATCGAGGAACAACAATACGATAGAGTCAGATCACAATACATGTGGACAAGCCACTTAAGTCCATATATTTGTTCAATTTTAACAAATGACGGTTCACCTTCATCACTAATAGAGTGAAGTACAGACATCTTAGTTTGGTACTTTTGACCAAAAATGACTACTTTTTCAGTCATAAACACATCTATTTTTTCACCATTAAAAGGTAAAATTAATGACTTATGCTTTATATCTGACGATGAAATAATTGTACCATTTCCAACTTCTGAAATCCCCTTTAATGGACATCTAGTCATCCAAACAAAAGCATGAGAAAGTTGGTGTCTGCTTGCGAGAGAAAACGCTATATTTTTAAAGTTACAAATGATATGAGCAAGACGCTTAGAAAAGTTATGCTTAGCTTCAAACCGCATTACCATCATATGTAAAAGTGGTCCACTATTCTCTATTATAGTACCATAGTGAACCATTCTGTGATGTTTGTATAAAAGTCTTTTATCAGGATAACATATTTTAAATAACTCATGATGCTCTGATACAAGATCTTTTAAGTACAAAACATGCGACAGTACAGAGTTTGGCAATAAAATAATTTCTGTCAGCTGTTTTAGCAATTGGTACAAACGCCATTTTAAATTATCTACTTTGTCAATAACATCAGCTAAAATACATGGTAAATGTAAAAACAAAATCAGCATCTGAGCTGACCTTTGTCCAAGCAATGAGCTGTGACTTTTCAAATGTGACTCACTTATAAAACTTGGCTTTGAGTTACTAACCAGACCATAATCCATTGTATTAATACGACAATTAAGCCCATGGAGATTAATAAGCTTCAAGTCATAAATTATGTGGCGCAAAAATAACTTGACTTCAAACGGAATAACACCTTCAAACAAATCATGCATTATATCGGCTGAGTCATTACAAGCAGGATGGTAATAGTTCAAACTTTTTAAAGTTGAGGGACGCTTTATGCCACACTCTTTAGATGAAATGGTACCATTATTAAGCTGCTCAATATGTTGCTCATATGATTGTTGTGTCCTCATTGTAAGAGAATATTCACAAAATACTTTTTGCATCTCATCCTGAGTTGCCATACACAAGTCACAAGCAAATGAAGCACTGCTAAAATTTTCCATGTATCCAAGAATTGCATGTAGCCCTAAATTATCACCAACAATTTGTGTTAAAAAACAACGAAAATTTATCTCTTTTCCATCACAAAAAACAGTAAAGCCCTCATCATGTAAGTCTTTTAATTGCTGAACAATAACTTCCATAACAGGATCAGTGGTGTACCGTTTAATGTCTTCCGAATGTGCCAAGGCCAACAAATGAATATTGCTTAATGCAGAATTTGCAGCTGGTGGAAAGTTTTTTATTGTGAAATAAAATGCACCTAACTTATGTATTCCAGTTTTGGATCCAAGCGGATTTGTTGTCTCTACCTCATCAAAATAAATCTGAATAAATACATGAATGCTGTTAGGAAAATAATGTTTGGCATATGTTTTTAGCTGTCTCCCATGCTTACCGTCTAACCAATCTTCTGCTATATCATTTGCTGACTCATTGTTTCTTTTTAAAATTTTCCAAGTCTCAGGTTGTCGCAAAACCAATTTCAAAGTTTTCTCAATTGGTATAAGGTAAAATTTATTTTTTACACACACCTGCATTTGTTGCTTTGTTGATATAAGATAATTCAACATTTTATAATGAGTATCAATGCCTTTTTCCAGTTGTTAAATTCTTTTGAAAAAGTATTAAATGTTGCGGCATCACATCTGCATGTTTTTAACACAACGTCTGTCTTGGCAAGCAGATAATTAATAATATCCTTTAACAACTCATTTAAACTATCCATTATGAACTGAGATACGCTTAGAGAAATGGAACTAGAAGATTGCAGAGACATCAAAAATTTTAATGCTGCGTGTGAAACACCATACTCGTCTACAATAGGTGCAATAAAAACACTTTCTTTTGCTACACTTTCTTTTGTTAAACTTTCAGAATATAAAACCTCATTGCAATCTTCAGCTAAGTATTCATTTTCTGTATTTTGGATAGTAATATCTGAATGTTTATCAACTTCTTTCAAATTATTATGACACATATGAGTTTTTTTAATGTTTACGCAACACTTTATAAAGTGTGAATGTGCGCATGCAACCATCAGCATTGCATCGTAAAAAACAAGGTTCAAACAACAGGTGCGTGTTTCTTAAATGATAAGTATAATCATTAGTGGATTGAAATTTTTTTGTGCACAAGTAACAACTCAGTCGTAAAAATCCCTGAAAAATATCATGTAAAATATAAAAATGTTACACTAATGCATTAATTTAATCATCATAATTTATATTTAACTAAAAATATATTTTTAACAAAAAATAAATAATATTTTCTGAGCTCCATATTTTATTATAATTATATTTTTCACCTTTTTTCCCTCAATTATGGCTTGAATTTTAATGGCCTGGCCTATTTTGATGCCCATTGCATGCAGCAATAATGCGTTCAACTCCAAAAAAGCTGTCCCGTCAATTTCTTCATCTAAAATAATAATCAATAATATATTTAGCAAAAGAACTATATATCTTTGTTTTAATAGAGTTAAAAGACACTTTTTCATATTTTAATACAATTTATACAGTTTATAATCAGTTATATTTTGGACTAATTATTGCAACCAGCACTTTATAAAAATAGTAGAGTTCAAAAATCCAAGTGCACATCTATTACTTATTTACTTTAATTATTTACTTCTTTTTTTTTTTTACAAACTTAAACTTAGTTGAACTAAGTTAGACTTTGTAAATTTAACATATTATTATAATATACTATATCGATATGATAAATAATATAAATATATTTTGACATCTATACACATCACATTCTATATGGTGTTTATCATAAAAGTTATGTAGTATGTGATGTGTATAATTTATAAACTTTATAAATAAAAAGATATACATACAATGAAACTTATAAATTTCATTGTATGCACATCTTTTTATTTGTAAAGTTTATAAATTATACACATCACATAATACATAACTTTTATAATAAACCCCATATAGTCTATAGTCACATTCTGTATTTATTTTAAAATCACAATTATTTATCATTTCGGTATAATATATTATCATAATATTATAATATACTAGTATATTAAATAATATAATATAATAGTATACTACAATATAATATTGAAATAGTATATTATATCGATATCATATTGTATACAATATATCGATATAGTATACTATTTCAATATTATATTGTAGTATACTACTATATTATATTATTTAATATACTATTATTATCTAATACAATACTATTATACTATTATTATCTAATATACTATATTATTTATAATATAATTATAATGATAATATATTTATCATATTAGTATGATATACACTATATATAGTGTATATCATACTAATATGATAAATATATTATCATTATAATTATATTATAAATAAACTATTTATATAATATATTATCATGATATATATGTATAGTATATATGTATAGTATATACAGTGATATATAGTGACATGATATATATTATATATATACTATATATTAAATAGTATATATGTTAATAATATGATATACTATATCATAGTTTATATCTTACTTTCTTTATATCTATACACTCATACATACATGTATATAATTCAAATATGTCTTGAGAGCAAGAGAAGTGTATATATAGTATATAGAGAAAGAGAAGTATATATACACTACTCTTGTTCTCAAGACTATATATATTATATACACAATACACATCTCTTTTACGTACGTACGCGAAATATTTTCGGAAAAAGATGAAAAGGTAGCTTACTTTTAAGCTTTTCTGTAGCATCTATAGATATTCCTTTTGATAACAAATACTCTGCTAACTGTAACTCTGACAACTTTTTAAAGCTCATTTTTATTAAAAAAATTTAAAATAAGAGAATGCATGCACATGCGACCTCTAAAAAGTTTAATGGCGATTGCCGCTGGCGTGTAAAATTTTTTTACATTTTCAGGCAATTTACTTGATGTTTCCGGTAAAGAACCTGAACATTCCGGTAGAAAAGTTGACGAAATTACTTTTTCCTGAACATTTCAGGAATTTTACACAAAGTGTTCAGGTGGTTTGCTAAAATACCTGAACTTTTACGGCAATTTGCCTGAATGTTTGAAATGCCTGAATGTCAAAAAATGGTGCACCATTTTTATATAAATTATGCAATGTAAGGTATTGTACACAATGTAAAAAGACTTTTAAAAAACTTGTGTATAATACCAATTCTTATAAATTATACATATTTTCATAGCAAAAAAATCTTTTAATGTTTTCACTTTTATTACATTGCACATTTATTAAAAGTTTTTAAAGAACTATCCCCAGCTCATTTATTGAAGCAGCGGGATTGTTGTATCAATCAAGTGGTACAATTGGTCCAACAACTACGATTTCATTTTATGGAAACTTTGATTCATCTGAAAGTATGCCTAGCGTTGGTAGTGGTAGAAGAATGGTAGTGACACTCAACTCTGGCCATGATCAAGATCTGGAAGCTTTTATTTATTGTTAGGACAATGCTACTATTATGCTTAGATCCAGAGGATCCATAAGAAACAAATCGTTAGTAAAGTGGTATGGGTATCCTGATATTTTTAACTCATGGGTTGATAATAAAGAATTGAAAAATCTATAAATTTTTACTATTAAAAAAAGATGCAAAACTCAAATGTAAATGTAAACGTATGCATAACAGCTACATCTGCAAACACAAATACAAATACCTCTGTAACAACAACTTCATCTACAAGCAAATAAATTGACGCATTCGCTTATGACACGAAAAATCACGTGACTAGAAATTGATTTGAATTTATAAAATTAAGTGGTTGAAAACGTTATATAACGATGAACCTAGAATTAAAAATTTAAATTTTTAATTAAAATTTTATCAGTTGAAAATGAGCCTAAAATAAAGTTTAAATTAGGGTTGAAATCATGGTTAAAAATGAAAATGAGCCAGAACTCTCCTTCTTCTACTACTTAATTTCAAATAATAATGTAACCTAAAATTATTATTGTTTAATTAGATTTAATCAAAATGTTGGTGATATTTATTATTTTTGCATTTATTAAATTATATAAAAGATATTAAACCCTTACCAACTGGTTTAGAGGCTTGATGTCATGTTAACTTGAGTCAAGAATTTAAATTTTATATGGTAACATTGTAGTCATGTTATATTATTGTTGTTTACAAGTTTATTTATTTCATGCCTAATTAATAATATCAAACATTTACCGTTAAATAAAATTGTTTGAGAATCCCTGCAGGATGTCTGTTAAAAAGAAAAACTGAAAAAATTTTAAGACTAGATGATGGCAACTGAAGAAGTTAAAATACCATGAATAACGTGGTGTCATATCAAGGCTTCAGTTCTCCAGTATTTATTTTTGTATTATATTATGAATGTTATTTTTATCATTTTTATAACAACAAACTATGAGAATAATTAATTGTCCTGCTCTGGACCTCTACTTTAATTGGGCTATGGTTATAACACGTATATCGATTTATATACTGTATTGAGTTAGCTTGTGATTTGTACGTGTGTTTTTGTTTGCGTAGTGTTTGTTAGTTATATGCAAGATATGGCATATAACTAACAAACACGATCAATAAATATTTTAATCTATACTTTGTAAATATATACGCTATAAATTATTTAAATGTTTATTTTTAATTTATAAAATTAGTGTAAAAATGGATGAAAGCACTAAAGATTATGGTGGCGATATGAGAGAACTACTGTGGCAGAATATTACTATCGTAAAGCAGTTTTGCATCAAATTATTGTATAATATTAGTTTTTTGTTTCTTAAAAATATTATGAAATTCAAATCTGTTTTGTAAAAATTATTTCAGACCAAATATTCATTTGTCTAATTTTATTGTGTCATTTTATTGCCCGGACAGCGAATTTAATATAGATAATATAAATAACCTTTACTTTTTAATTTTATATTAAAAAATGTAACGCTTTTTAATAAAAAAATTGTCACATTTCGCAGATTCAAGATACAAAAAAATCTGCGAAAAACAAACTATAAAAAATTAGGAAAACCCGCGTTAATTGAAAAAAATATCTGGGATCAATATGGGATTTCCCGTCAAAAACTCAGACTAATCCCAGATGGGACCCAATTCGATAGAATCGCAATGGGACCTTTGTGGGATACCCAGATAGGTCCAAGTATTTTCCCCAATTGGGTCCCAGCTGGGACCCAGTTGGAATGGTTAACTGGAAATCGTTTTAAATCAGCCAAAAACACATATTAAATATAAATTTAATATGTGTTTTTGGCTGATTTGAAACTTTAATTACAAGCCACTTGATGTCACGGAACACTAATTATTAACCAAGGAGTTATAATAGCGTAGCTGGAAGGAGAACGAAGATAAAATACGTCTTTTCTCAAATAACAGTCTTAGTAGTAACATAATTTTCTATTGAACACCGCGGAATTTAAAGTTAACCCAATTTTAACAAAAGCTAGCAATGATATTCTTTCAAAACGTCATAATCAATTAAAGCGTCGCAAATTAAAAAATGGATGTTTAAACAATATTTAAAGTCAGTTTTTTTTTTGTGCTTTTTGAACGGCTAATAATAAATTTCTAGATTAGAATTAAATTAATAAATGTCTAGATAAGAATTGGTAGTATTTTTGCCATTCATTTTATATCTATTTATATTTTTGCCATGTATTTTATATTTAGAATAAAGCAATTTGGTTTTAAATCCAGCAAAAATACTTCAATATAAAATAAAATCCTGGAGGGATTTAATAAGTTCTTGGCCGAAAGAACAGTCTTAAAGAACGTAACTAACCTATAGCTGAACAGGCAAGCAAAAAATAAGGTTCAAATAGGTAGTAGAGATTGTCTAAAACTTTGATATTTATACCTAACACAGAGGTACGCAAGAAACAATTACTTCACCTTAATCGTGATTTTTGTTTTAACAAACTCTTTGATTGATCGAATAGTTGTTAAAAACATATCCAACAAACTTTTATTTTTTTAATACATTACGACAACAACTCTCAAAGCTTACTAATTATATCTCAAAATTTTTCATTTTTTTGCACAAGCGCCATTTTGACTTGCTACTGTAATAATTATCAATTATCATACTGGAATAATTAACAAAGACAGTGACGCGATTTAAATCCATTTTCGGCTTCGCTCTCATCTACGCTATTATAATTCCTTGATTTATCTTAAGATAGTTACAAATGGCCGCAATACTGCTCGAAAAAACTTTTCAAATAAAGATGAATTTGCCGAAATTACAGGAATAGATAAAGAACTAATTGTAAATAGTACATAGTCAAAAAATAAAATAAAAAAAAAATTGTACATAGTCTCAATTTACATATCAAGTGGATTTGAAATAGATACTTGTAAGTTTTACTTATTCTTTCTGGAGACCGCAAGGCGGTCTCCAGAAAATATTTTTTATTACATTGTGTAATAAAAAGTACAATTATATTGCCCCCCCCCCCAATTTAATTTTTGTTCCTAAGCCCAGGCATCCATAAAGTGAGTACGCACTAAATCCACTGTTTTTGGACCACCTATGTTTTCAATGACTCACGTTGTATGCAGCACAATGCTTTCAATCTCAGCTTCTGCGTAAGTCAGTGGTGGATCAAGGGAGGGGGGCTAGGGGGTTATAGCCCCGAGCCCCGCAAATTTAGGGGCCCCCAAAAAATATTTTGAGGACTTTTTTTTTTTTTTTTTATCATTTTTAGGCTCTGGCCCGTAAAAAGGTTTCCAAAATCAAAAATAGCCCCGGGCCCCAAGAAGTCTTAATCCACCACTGGCGTAAGTACGTACAAAATCAAGAATCAAAATTGAGTAAAATTGCTAGGCATTAAAAACTTATTCTTTTAAGATTTAGTTTTTTTCAAGGAGTGAAGTTTCAGTGTAAAGGGTGAATAAAAAAATTGGATTTTAAAAAATCCAATTTTTTTATTCACCTTTTGAAAAAGTCACACACTGAAACTTCACTCCTTGAAAGTCCGTAATAAATAAATAAAAAAAGTTCCGAAATATTTAAGTAACACGGGGTGCAGAATTGTTCGCCCCGTGACTAAAGTAGGTCGAGACATCAATAGACTCCAGAAAAAATTTAATTTTTTTAAACTTTATTCGTCTAAAAAATTTACAAAAATTTAAAAACAATTTCGAAATTAAGAAAGATTCCTAAAACTATTTTAAAAACTCTAAAAATATAAAGTTTAAAAAATCTAAAAATTAAAGCAGTATTTTGTTTCATTATCTCAATTTATATTTACACAGAAATCTGTGACGAAGGTTTCTGTGTAATCAGTATTTAAATGTTTTCTTCCAGCTCATAAACAAGATCTTCGGATTTATCCTAACGAATTTTAGCAAATTTGAAAAATCCTTTTGTAAATTAAATTCTGAGTTGAAATTTTTTAAATTAAAGCATTTCTTTCTTTGATTGTATTTATTTCTTATAAGCCACATTCAACAGTAATATTTTGTTTTAAAACTATGAGAATTAAAAATCTTTATCTGCTCATCCTGTATTCAATTATCAGCTTGAAACTATCTGCATCTTTTGGTAATCCAATAATTTTAAATATATTTAAAAAGTTAATAATACAGAAATAAAATATTAAGCATTTTATATTAATTTAAAACATGTATTTCTAATTTTTTGTTAAAGTGGTCCCTCCTCCAACTTTTGCTGAAGAGCCTCAAGACACATGGTTCTTTAACTCATCATCATCTAAACTTAGTTGTGTTGCAAACCAAGATCCAGTCGGAGTTGCTTATCAGTGGATGTATGAAACAGAAATAGATTCAAAGTTTACAAATTTAACTCATATACAAGTAGATAAGTATGGTGCATATGTTTGTCTTCTTTCAAACTCTTTTGGAACAGTAAGAAGTCGCACAGCACTAGTTAAAAAACCTGGTAAATTTGAAATTATTATGTTCTATTTAAACATAATTTCTTATTTATTTTATATTTAAAATAATAATCAAAATAAATGTTTTCACTTTATTTTTAGAAAATTTAAAACAATTTAGTTTGCAAAGCAGCTAAACTGTTAACCCAACCAAATTCTGTATTGGTTAGGTTTGCAGTTGAGTTAACAATATTTAAACATATTTAGTGCAACTAATTTGGGTTGAATATAGATTAAGTTGTATATCAATTGGAGATTGATATATAATATTAATCCCAATATGGTTAGAATATGGATTAAAACTGTGTTGGGTATAGATACTGTTAAAAAAATTTATTTTTAAAAATGTTTTATTTAAACATTATTTCTTATTTATTTTATATTTAAAAAAATTCTCAAAATAAATATGTTTTTCACTTTATTTTTAGTATTTTAAAACAAAATGTTTGCAAAGCATCAATAAATTTGTTGTTGCTTAGTCAAATAAATATTTTTATAAAGAATATTAGATTTAAAATAATAATAATAAAGTTCATATAATTAGTATATTCTAATTAGTACTTAAACTTACAAGTCCTAATCAATGATACGAGATTACTTGTTGTTCAGCAATATTTGAAAGAAATAAGTTTGCTAGTTAAATATTAATGCAATGATATAAAAGTACCATACTTCTATGTTGAACCAACAAATTCCCTACAGCAACAACAACAACAAGCTATTTATTTTCCTTAAATCATTTTTACAATAGTTTTGATAATAATCATAGTAACAATGATAATAATAATAGTAATAACAATAATATATTATAATAATATGAGATAAAAAAAATTTATACAAATTATAGTAATAGTAATAATAAGTATGTTAACAATAATTACAATGAAAAAATAATAATAATAACTAATATAAATATAATAATAAGCAAATGATTTATTAGGATGGTGTCACTCATACAGAAATATGATCAAAGGAGGGCATTTCCAAAAAATCACGCACGGAAACTCATATATGTTTTTACTTTTATTTTCATAAAAATGAAACTAGCAATCTCCAATTTACTCTCATTTAATTTTAATTATATAAATATTTTGTTTTAATTTTAATTATATAAATAATATAAATATTTTGTAAACAAAAAATAGTAAGCATTAGTAATGTTAACAAAGAATAAATAAAGTTTAAAATGGAATCACGCACGGAACAGAAAAACTTTTATTATAGTTACTAGATAAATAAAATTTAATTCCTCAGAAAATATAAGTTTCACCGGTATACTTTTTTAAAAAAATAATATTTTAAACATTAGTAAAGATTTCCAGAAAGTTACAGGATTGCACTATGAATCATAGAGTCACAGCAATCGTTTAAATGCAGTTTATGAATGATCACGCATGGAAGTCACGCACAGATGTTGCGAATTTGTCAATTTCATGTAGTTATTTTTATGAAAACAAATTACTTGTGAGTATTTCAAGTGAAATATTATATTTCTACGACTCTTATTTAACATATTTTTGATGAGAAATGGCAGTCATCAATTATTTTTAGCTGGAGTATGGTGTTTTGAAAATTATTGTATATTTTTTAAAATGTAGCGATATTATTACTCAAAAAGATAAAATTGTAAAAATGTGTATATTTAATTTATTCAGATAGCCTAAAATATGATAAAAATATTTTTGTTATAATTGTTCTTTAAGAAAATCAAAATATGCATATTGCATAAAGTCCCAGCTTTTAATTGCTAAAACAAAGAAAAATAAAAAATCGCGCACAGAAATGGAAATGCCCAGGAGTAACACCAATTTTTAATATAATGTAAGTAATAATAAGCAAAGAAACACATGGACCGTAAACACACAGACCAAAGCACATAAAATATACATCAAAACAAACATATAGAAATTAATTTTTAGGTTTTAATAATTAAAAAAAAGAAAAAAATAAACAAAAAGTGCTGATGATAATTGTAGTATTTACGAAAACAAAATAAAAATAGTATTTTAATCATTAAGATTAAAATAAAAGTAAGAATAAAAAAAAAAGTTAGAATAAAAAGTTTTTCAGAATTTTTTTAAATTGATGTTGTTTAAAATGGAGTAAAAGTATTTTAGTATATATTTTTTTGGACTCATTCAAAATGCATGTGAGGCTTCTGTTCCATTCACAGATGCACTGATAAACAATAGAATATTTACCATACTTCTGGGTTTTAAAAGATGGTACATTTAGTTTTCCATTGTGTATATTTCTAGTCGAGTATGAATGTAATCGTCTACTTTCTGTAAAAAAGCTTGTGATAGGAGATGGTATATTTTTATTTAAGGAGTCAAAAACAAAAAGGAAATGGAAAATGTTGGAATGAAAAGTTGGAATGAAAGGTTTTTTGAAGGACTTCAATGTATCTGATATAATTGGTTGGAAGTTTATTAATCTATTGGATTGTCGCTGAGACGATAGCAATTTGTTAATGCGAGAGTTTCCCAACTTGACCCCAAACTTGATTAAGATGAAATAAAAATAATGCATAGTAAATATTCCTAAGTGTAACTTTATCAACATAATGAAAAAATATTGAAAGCATACTGTTTGCTTGAGATTTTTCTTGCTTAGTTCATCAATATGACAGTTCCATGAAAGATTGGAATCAATTAATGCACCAAGATATTTAATAACTCTTGAAGGATATAGCCGTTTATTAATTTTGATTTTGATTTCAACATTTTTAAAGAAGTAGTTTTTTCTCGGAGGTGCAAAAAATATTAGTTCAGTTTTTTCGGTGTTGAGACATTAGGTTAGCATTTAACCAGTGAACTATACCTTTTAGATCCGAATTAACATTTTTACATAAAGAATGATATGATTTGTTGACGTGCAAGAGATTTGTATCATCAGCAAACAGATGAACTGAAGAAAAGTGAACAGAGTTGATTAGGTCGTTAACCTAGATTAAAAACAAAAGAGGACCTAGAACAGAACCTTAAGGAACACCACAAAAAACTGATTTATTACTAGAATTGAAACCATTAATACTTACAAATTGTTTTCGATCTGAAAGATAAGATCGAAACCAATCATTTACAATACCACAAATTCCATAATGTTTTAATTTAAAAATCAAAATATAATGATCAACAGTACCAAAAGCTTTTTGTAAATCGATAAAAACACCACAAACGAAATGACTAGTATCAAGAGCTTTCCTGATTTTTTCCGTTATACTCATTAATGTATGGCAAGTAGAATGTTTTGATTGAAAATCAAATTGAAAATCATTTAAACAAATGATTTTAGAAAAGAGTACACTCTAGAATACATAAGTTTCTCAAAAAGCTTACTAATGTTAGATAAAAGAGAAATAGGTCTGTAGTTAGGGCATGAAAGTTTAGAGCCATTTTTAAATATTGGAAAACAGGATAATTTCAAAATATCAGGAAATGTTCCATTTATAAATGAGATATTAAATAGTTTAGAAAGAATGTTTGAAAATTTGTAGTTAAAATCTATAAGATTATTTGTGGGAGTGCTGTTTTGACCTAATGATGTTTTTGGATTCAATTTAGATATGAGAGATGAAATTTAAGTAATATTTGTTGGAGATAATAATAAACTATGTAAATTTGGATGTTTAAGATATTTTTGATAGTTAATGTAAGGTGAATGAATATTGGATTTGAGTTTATGAACAATATTTGTAAAAAAAGTATTAAATGATTCAGAGATTAGAGTCGAGTCAGTTATATATGTATCATTTTCTTGCAAACAGTTAGGAGATAATTTATTCAAATTTTTTACATTAATTAGAGTGTTAATACCTTTCCAAAGTTTACGAAGATTTTCTACAACTTATTATTTATAGTAGATTGAAATAAAACTAGCTCAATGAACTTATATAATGCTATTGAACTGTAAATTTATAGAAATTAGTCCAATTAACATATTTTTCACAGGAGGAAATCTGTTTTGCATTTGCTGATAACACCAAGTGTGATTCTCACAATAGGGAACTTCATTTTTTTTTTGGGAACTTTATTTTTTACTTTATTCAACCCAAGTTAATTTAATTTAAAAACTTATAACTGAATAATACAGAAATATTTACAGTCGGACCAACACAGAAATTGGTTGGTCTGACTGCTAATATAATACAGTTAGATCAACTAACAGAGTATTCAGGGAGTTAAAAACAAAACTAGATTTAGTAATACTGTGCAACAAAATAATTTTTTTTGTTGCAAATTGAAAAACAAATTTATGCTTTCTTGCAGAAGTAGGAAAGTGGTAACTAGTTATTAATTTTCTTTTGTGTGCAGAACTGCTGTCCTTCTGCAGAAACCAACAGAAATCACCCATCATAGCTGGACTATATTTACCCCGGTATTGCTGGTGCATCACTGAAATGCCTCGTCTGATTTTCTGTTTCCAAGAAGAGTGTCTTTTATTATATGCAATGTTTTGATTACAGGAGTGTCTTTAGCATGTACAGAAGTGAAGTTTACCTAGTCGGAAAATTTAGTCCTACTATGTAAAATTTCAATAAAAAAGCTTTTTAAATCTTTTTTGATTAAAATCAGAAAATAATGATACTTTTTCAGAATTAGCTAGTCACTGTCTTGATGCTTTCTTGCAGAAGTAGGAAAGTGGTGACTAGTTCTTTATTTTCTTTTGTGTGTAGAACTGCTGTCCTTCTGCAGAAACCAACAGAAATCACCCATCATAGCTGGACTATATTTACCTCGGTATTGCTGTTGCATCACTGAAATGCCTCGTCTGATTTTCTGTTTCCAAAAACCCATTGAGGATAGCCTTGAATGAATTACAAGCTTTCTTTTGCTAATCAGTCAGCTTTGATGTAAAAATGTAATCATTAATTGTAACATGTCTAATTGGAGGTCCTATAAAGACTCCTTCTATGATCTTGGAATAACTCATCCTTTGAAATATCTCTTTGAAAGGTATCCGAGTTGTCTTGATGTGTAAAGGTGGGTGGTAAATTTTTTTT